TCCCATCATTTGGGTTTGGCTCAGGTTATGGCCTTGGTAGTGGCTACGGTGGCTACGGTGGCTACGGTGGCTATGGTGGCTATGGTAGCTATGGTGGCTATGGCTATGGCGCTGAACATGCAGCAAACCTTGGCGTTCTCTCCGGGGTCCAGCCTTCATGTATCAACCAGCTCCCACCATCAGATGTTGTGATCCAGCCACCTCCCTGCATCATTACCCTCCCTGGACCAGTCCTCTCTGCTTCCTGTGAGCCCGTCGCAGTGGGAGGAAACACAGCATGTGCTGTAGGCTCATATGGGTATGGAGGGCTGGGTGGATATGGACTGGGTGGATATGGACTGGGTGGACATGGATATGGACTGGGTGGATATGGATATGGACTGGGCAGATGCGGGCTGGGATATGGAAGAGGACTCTATGGTTACGGGTCACTTGGCCGTAGGTCTTTATTGTCAGGTAGCCGGATCTATGGATGCTATTGCTGAGGACAGATGCAAAGAACAACATGGAAACAGAAGCAACAGATAAGACCCACGGATGAGGTTATAGGGCTATTTGCATGCAACGTCCCTTAACAATCAGGCCTAATGTGTGTCACCCGTTGACACAATTTTCTCCAAATCGCCTTACTCTGCTCCATAGTTCTGCTGGGCTGGTTTCTTGAGGGTTTGCTCCAGTTTTGCTAAGATCCTGAAATGCACTGTACATATGTATGGTAACCCAACTTGAGTGTGCGTGCGATCTGAACTGGCTCTGAAGCAAGGCGGGAGGAGCTTCCAAATTAATATCCTTCTTGCTTTTTGTCTTCTGGAAGTGATGTAAAAAAAAAAAGAGAAGGATGCAATGAAACTTGTGTGAAATCAAATTCAATTGTGACCTTTGGACTTTGCTGTGCAAGACTCTGAGTTGTGGAGGAGCTTTTTTATTCCATTCTGCATGTCTAATATCTTGCTTTGTCCTTCTGGGGCTGATGGGTCTCTGTTCAGTCCCATTCTGCCCCCACTTCCATTAAAGCTTTAAGTGCATTGCATCACATGCCTATTCATTATTTTCTCACAAAAACACAGAGACTGGGAAATATTAACGGTTGATAAAAGCCACTTTAGAACAAATGAACCTGCTTTCTATTTTATTTATTTATTCATAAAAAAATGAATAGAGTGTTATTTCATATTTTTTTTAAAAAAATCAGTTTACAATGAAAATGCATAAACCTATGCAGAGAAAAAAAAATTGAAGAAGAAACCAGACGTCAATTCACCATTTTTAATCGTCTGCATAAGCCTGGTAGAATAGAAAAGTTTTCAGCAGGTGTTAAAACAGAAGGCAGCTGCTGAAATTGGCAGAGTAATCCACAATACTAGGCTAATGACACACCTTAGCTAGGCATCTTGGCAGCAATGAGGTTAGAGTGATCACAGTGTGAGAGCCCCTGTGTGGCTCTGCAGTCACTGAAGTAGACCCCTAATTTTGGGGGAAATAGTCACAAGGTAAACAGCGAAAAGTCACTGGGGGAAAAAATGCTTGTAAGGTCTTGAGCCCTGTTGAATTAGACCCATAAAGGCACATCCTGGGATGAAATAATAGAAATCATAGAATTGGCTCCCAGTACATTTCTGAGCACAATTCAAAGTGTTGGTGCTGACCTTTAAAGCCCTAAATGGCCTCGGCCCAGTATACCTGAAGGAGCGTCTCCACCCCCATCGTTCTGCCCGGAAACTGAGTGCTGAGGGCCTTTTGGCAGTTCCCACGCTGCAAAAAGCCAAGTTACAGGTAACCAGGCAGAGGGCCTTCTCAGTAGTGGCACCCGCCCTGTGGAACGCCCTCCCACCAGATGTCAAAGAGAAAAACAGCTACCAGACTTTTAGAAGACATCTGAAGGAGGCCCTGTTTAGGGAAGCTTTTAATGTTTGATGGACTACTGTGTTAGTTGTAGTCAAAGCAGGAGATAACCAGAGCATGCACCACTCTGGCAAGACAGTCCATGGGCAGGTAGGATCTCAGCCTGTGTATCCGATGGAGCTGGTAGACAGCTGCCCTGGACACAGAATTGACCTGTGCCTCCATGGACAGCTGTGAGTAAAAAATGACTCCCAGGCTGTGCACATGGTCCTTCAGAGGCACAATTTCCCCATTCAGGACCAGGGAGTCCTCCGCACCTACCCGCCACCTGTCCCCCCAAAACAGTACTTCTGTCTTGTCAGGATTCAGTCTCAATTTGCTAGCTGCCATCCATCCTCCAACCACCTCCAGACACTCACACAGGACCTTCACCGCCTTTACTGGTTCTGATTTGAAAGAGAGGTAGAGCTGGGTATCATCCGCATACTGACGAACACCCAGCCCAAACCCCCTGATGATCTCTCCCCTAACAATTTTGTGCCTGGGGCAGCCACCCCTCCTCTCCCCCCACGCTATGCCACTGTGTACAGGGAAGAAGGATTATGGTTAAAAACACCAGAAAAACACTGCGCTGGATTAGGCCCGTGGCCCATCTAGTACAGCATCCTGTTCTAACAGTGGCAAATAAGATTTCTCCAGAAAACCCAGAGGCAGGTCATGAAGGCAAGAGCCCTCTGTCATTTTTAGAATCTCAGCACAATAACAACTCTCCCCCTTCTGGTAACTTTTGGTATATGTTTATTTTATATGCAATGTTGAAAAACTCGAGATCCACTGTGCAGATTCTTCTGAAGTACAGTGGTACCTCAGGTTACATACACTTCAGGTTACAGACTCCGCTAACCCAGAAATAGTGCTTCAGGTTAAGAACTTTGCTTCAGGATGAGAACAGAAATCGTGCTCTGGCGGCGTGGCAGCAGCAGGAGGTCCCATTAGCTAAAGTGGTGTTTCAGGTTAAGAACAGTTTCGGGTTAAGAACGGACCTCCAGAATGAATAAAGTACTTAACCCGAGGTACCACTGTATGGGAATAAGAATGTGAAAGGCCCTGTGTGGCTCTGCAGTCACTGAAGAAGGCCCAGATTTTTTTTTGGAAATAGTCACCAGGTAAACAGCGAAAAGTCACTGGGGAAAAAAAAAATACATGTAGGGACTTCAGCCCTGCTGAATTAGACCCCTAAAGGCACATCATGGGTTGAAATAATAGAAAGCATAGAATTGTAGAGTTGGATGGGACCACAAGGGTCATCTAGTCTAACTACCTGCAATGCAAGAATCATTCACCCAACATGGAGCTCTAACCCACAACCCTGGAATTAAGAGTCTTGTGCTCTACCAACTGAGCTATCCCAGCTGCCACAAATGGGCAACCAGGTTCCTATGAGGAGCCCAAAAAAAGCTCAGCAACTCTGGGCAGTCCCCCCCCCATTTTCTTAATTTGAAGTCCCCCAAAATAGGGAGCATCTAATACACAAGGGTGTCTTGTACATGTAAAAATATGGTATATCAAATTTTGTTTCTCTCATTGTCTCGTTCTACCAATCTTAAGCTCAGTTCTCCACACTTCCACATCAATTTGTGATTAATCAATTACTTACTTTAAAAACTATTCCTGAAAATCCATCAAAATCTGCTTGCACATTTTCCTTAATTTTCCTCATAATTTTCCCTATTTCCCCCCATATTAGGCAGTTTTGCCTAATATGAACATCTTTACCAAGCAATTTTCCATTAATATATTTTATTTTTGCATGTTATTTTCACTGATGGGTGCATTTTTTTATGCACGCCTGACCACAGTGTATGCATTTATTGTACCCCTTATTTGTCTGGAGGGCTGCATTGCAAAATTCAGGGAATTAAGAGAATCAATGTAAAGATAAAGGTAAAGGTAAAGGGACCCCTGACCATTAGGTCCAGTCGTGACCGACTCTGGGGTTGCGGAGCTCATCTCGCTTTATTGGCCGAGGGAGCCGGCATACAGCTTCCGGGTCATGTGGCCAGCATGACTAAGCTGCTTCTGGCGAACCAGAGCAGCGCACAGAAATGCCGTTTACCTTCCTGCCGGAGTGGTACCTATTTATCTACTTGCACTTTGACGTGCTTTCGAACTGCTAGGTTGGCAGGAATAGGGACCGAGGAACGGGAGCTCACCCCGTTGTGGAGATTCGAACCACCAACCTTCTGATTGGCAAGTCCTGGGCTCTATGGTTTAACCCACAGCGCCACCCGCGTCCCTTCGAGAATCGATGTACTTTTATTCAAATATTGCTTCAGCAAGTATGAATCTGATAGGTCCTTATTTAAATGCAAAATGAATCAGATTTCTACCACATCCCTAATTGCACAGGTTGTACAGCAAGAGGGCTGTCCGATTAATGGCTGGCTAAAGTTTCATTTTGTTTGCAAAATGAGGATGACAATGCAATGTAAAATCAAAATCCAGCAGCCAGATGTTTTGAATGCAACAAAAGGTTTAATTCAAGGAAAAAGGAAAAAAGAAAGAGCAGAAGCAATTTGAACACTGGTCATTTTTCCTTCCAAGCAAGACAAGGTGCAGAATACAAACATGAACAAATTGAATTCAGTTCATTCAGAGATTTAAAATAGGTTTATGAAGTTGGGTTGAAATCTATTTTAGTGGGAAGGGGAGCCTTAAGATGTGGAAAATCATCTAGAAGTCCCTTTCCCTGGGGAATTCTGGGAAATGAGTTTTGATGAAAGGTGACTTGAGATATGGATCCTTAAGGGAGAATCATCAGAGTGCCCACCAAACTACAATTTCCAGGATATTATAGAGGGTGAAGGGGAAGTGATGTCATCAGTATAAAACAGATGCATATTTGTCCTTTTTTAAAAATATGGCCTTAGCCTAAATGGGGATGTTGGTAGAATTAGTGTAGAAGCATCAAATTTTGAGCTAAAAGGAAGGATATCAAACACCGCTATAGGATGGATTCCTAGCATAGCTGATCTTCGCTTATTCCTGTTTAATTCAGATGGACACCCCAGCCTTTGGGAGAAATGGAAAGTTATGCCAGTAATTCCATGGGTCTTGCAGCTGTAAATTCCTGGGTCATATGGCAAGTTCCTCTCAATTTAACAGGGGTATCCGCAGATGCTAGCACGACGCCCAAGGTGACCTTTATTCCTCAGGTAGCCCCGTCTTCCCAGGCCATAGCCCCAGCCACCATAACCGCAGTGGTCAACTGCACACGGTGTGTTGCCTCCCACATAAACAGGCTCACAGCTTGCGGACAGAATTGGCCCTGGGATGGTCACCACACTTGCGGGTGGCTGAATCACAACTTCGGCTGGTGGGATCTGGTTGATACATGAAGGCCTGACCCCAGCCAGGGTGCCCAGGCTGCCGGATGATTCAACAGCACCGTAGCCACGACCTCCGTAGCCCCAGCCGAGACCTCCATGTCCCCAGCCGCCATAGCCGAGACCTCCGTATCCGCAGCCAAGACTTCCTGCTGATCCAAAGCCAACAGTGGGGGTGGAGGCACAGGATGGGACAGCGCACGATGGACCACAGTCAGCCATGGTGGAGTTATGAAGGTGAAACTGGAAGAAAACATATGATTGACAATGATGAGTTTGCACCAGAAGACAGCCTAAAATTACTCACAACATGGAAGAAGGATGGTCACTTTCTTCCTTGAGATGTTGCCTTGTCAAATCCTAGAGATGGGTGGATGACTTCCCCTCCTATATTGCTGTTCCTAGGAAGCTGCCTATTACGGATGCTGACGATTACCTTCTTGTGTAATATGCAGGATCCATTTAAATGCACTACAGTGGTACCTTGGCTGTCAAACTTAATCCATTCCAGGAGTCCGTTCAACTCCCAGAACCGTTCGAAAACCAAGGCACGGCTTCCAATTGGCTGCAGGAGCTTCCTGAACTCAATCGGAAGCCGCGTCAGAAGTTAGGCTTCCAAAAAACATTTGCAAACCGGAACACTTACTTCTGGGTTTGTGGCATTCGGGAGCCGATTTGTTCGGGAGCCAAGCTGTTCGAAAACTAAGGTACCACTGTGTACATTTAAAGCATTATCTACCTCTATCTATCTATCTATCATCTATCATCTATCTATCTATCTATCTATCTATCTATCTATCTATCTATCTATCTCTATCTATCATCTATCTATCTATCTATCTATCTATCTATCATCTATCTGTATCATCTATCTATCTCTTATCTATCTATCTATCTATCATCTATCTATCTAATCTATCTATATCTATCTATATCTATCTATACCTATCATCTATCTATCTATCTATCTATCTATCTATCTATCATCTATCTATCTATATCCCTATCTATATCTATCTATCTATCTATCTATCTATCTATCTAATCTATCATTTATCATCTATCTAAGTTTTTTAACATATCATTTTCAACAGTAATTAAACATACTTTTACATCTTATACAACTTTTTTGACTTCCATCAATCACCTCTGAAAATTTTCCAATCTAATCACATTTCTTACTTCACTATTACATTTAAATCTCATAACTATACTTTTCCTACTTTGCAATGTTTCATATATTTCTCCTTCCAAAACTTCTTGTAGTCCTACTAGCGTAATTTGTTGATTACAGTTGCTCTTCAAATAGTTCATATATTTCTTCCAATCTTCTGTGAATCTCTGGTCCCGCAGGTTCCGAGTCCTTCCTGTCATTTTATCTAATTCTGCGTAGTCCATTAATTTTGTCTGCCATTCTTCTTTCGTCTGAATTTCTTCTTGCACATTTAAAGCATTATCATACCATTTCAAATGATGATGCCTCCCCCGCCCCTCGCACAGCCCCAATCCTGGCAGCTGTAGTTTGTAATGGGTGCTGAGAACTGCTAGGAGGTTCCTATTGTAGTTCTGTGAGACAAATAGAAATCTCCTAACCACTCTCAGCACCCTTGATGAACTAAAACTCCCAGGATTTGATACTGCTTTCAATGTATATTGCATGAGGTGCCTGAGTCAGACCATTGGTACTTTGTTGATACTTACAGGTAGCGGCTCACCTGCATTTCAGACAGGTGAGATTCCCAGAGCTAACTGGCAATGCTGGGTGGAATTCAACTCAATTAGAGTAGAACCATTGAAATGATTGGACTATTGGAATGAATGTGCGTAGTCATGTGAGTTCATCTCCATTGCTCTGCTCTGTGTAGGACTAACATTGGCTACCACACACCTGGGATTGAACCTGGGACCCTTTGCATGCAAAGCTCTGCCACCAAGCATGGTCCTGTGCTTTCATTGTGCCCTTCATCCCACTCCCTGCCACCCACACAAATTACAATCTAACTATGCAACATTCTAAATAGTCCAGAATTGAAGAATGTGACATTTGTCATAGTTTTAGGACTAGGAACTTTGGGGAGGGGAGTTTAAGTGAAGGCTAAGATTTTCAGCAAGCTGGATGTTGTGCCCTATCTTCACATTCTCCACATTCTCCACATTCTCTGGGAACAGAGGCAGTTTTTAGGGTAGCCACACTATGCACTCACCCACTTTACCCTTCCCTGACATCACAGCAGCTCAGCGAATGAGAGCAAGACTGGTGGGATCACCCACTCCTGCCAAGCCTACCTGCTGTGAGATCAAAAAGCAGATAGCCAATTACTGCAAAGTGATAATCGTTACCCTTGGTTGGTATGTGTATGTAGTTGTTGAGCAACTTTTTAAGAAGCGGGGAAGGGGAGATTTCATCATTATGCCCTCCCACCAGATGTCAAAGAGAAAAACAACTACCAGACTTTTAGAAGAAATCTGGGAAGTTTTTAATGTTTAATAGGTTATTGTATTTTAATATTCTGTTGGAAGCCAGCCAGAGTGGCTGGGGAAACCCAGCCAGATGGGTGGGGTATAAATAATAAATAACAAATAACAAATAACAAATAACAAATAACAAATAACAAATAACAAATAACAAATAATAAATAAATAATAAATAATAAATAATAAATAATAAATAATAAATAATAAATAATAAATAATAAATAATAAATAATAAATAATAAATAATAAATAATAGATGAGGCTTCTTGGGACCAATTCCCAGGGCAACAGAGAGTGGATAAAGGCTGGGAACACAGCAAACAGGTGCGAGATTGTTCCACCAAGCTTGCAATTTCTCACAGATTTTTGAGCAGACCACATCAAAAGGCTTCTGAGAACTGGTTTGGTAAACACTGACTGCCTGGGTTGAGAAATAAAGGCTTGGGATTCCTGACAAGAGAGCCACAGAAATACTTTGCCCATGGGCTCTAAATCTAATCAGCATCCCAAATGATTTAGAGAGTTTCTTGATTTGAACTTGAGTCATCTCCTTCCATGCTCCATTTACAGGGATGGGGAAGCAGGCTCTCACTCCAGGCCAAAACCTCTCACCCTCTGGACCCTCCTGGACTTCTTTTACCTGGCTGGTAAAACTCTCACCATACTTCTCACCTGCCCAGGTGGAGAGCAGAGAGGGCTGTGTGTCTGTGTAGGAACCTTTCACATGTGGAATGGAGCTGGAATGAGGACTACTGTGAAAAGGTAAGAGTCCACATCTGTTGCTCCACCCACTATTGCCTCTGGACCCAATCACGTCCCTCTTGCCACCAGCATGTGCCTCACCCTCAAAGGGATGTCCGTAACAGAATACATCCACTTTCAAATTATGACATTTCCTCTGCTTTCATTAACTTCATATTCAGTAACATACCTCGTCAGTTTCATTAATTAATCTGCACTTCTTACTTAGTAATAGTAAAGGCAAAGGGACCCCTGACCATTAGGTCCAGTCGTGGCTGACTCTGGGGTTGTGGTGCTCATCTCACTTTATTGGCCAAGGAAGCCGGCGTACAGCTTCCAGGTCATGTGGCCAGCATGAATAAGCCGCTTCTGGGGAACCAGAGCAGTGCACGGAAACACCGTTTACCTTCCTGCCGGAGCGTTACCTATTTATCTACTTGCACTTTGATGTGCTTTCGAACTGCTAGGTTGGCAGGAGCAGGGACCGAGCAACGGGAGCTCACCCCGTCATGGGGATTCGAACCGCTGACCTTCTGATCGGCAAGTCCTAGGCTCTGTGGTTTAACCCACAGCGCCACCCACGTCCCTACTTAGTAATAACCCCCCCCCAAAAAAAAATGAGAGGAGGACAAAGGAAGGTGCCTTGAGTTACATCATTGTCCCATCTACCTTTTTTGTGCCTACAGTGCCTGTCAGTCGTTCTCCAGGCGACATTCTCCCTCCTACCCAGGGGTGAAGGAAGGTATCGTGAAACCTGGGGGGGGGGGGTTTGCTATGTATGACACATGCGCCATATGTGGTGATGCCCCACATGCGCTGAACATAGCTGTTTGCCGGTGGTGCTGCTCCAGTGATGTACGGACGGATCCTCCATTCTTGGTTGCTGGAGGGATACCGGCACCGTCCGTACAGCGCTGGAGCAGCTCCGCCGGCAAACCGCTAAGTACAGTGCATGTGCGCCATCACTATGTACAGTGCATGCATGTGACACAGCACATGCGTTATACATGGCGGTTTGCCGCCGGTGCTGGGATCCTCTGCTCGCAGCTGCAGCCGCGAACGGAGGAGCCTCCACTTGCAGCTGATGGATGCTCGCGCCGCTGCAAGTCCCCGTGGGGTGACTTCTTGTCACCCCCGCAGACACTGAACCCCGGGTGCACCGCCCCCCCGTCCCCCGTTGCGACGCCACTGATCCTACCTAGTGATGCTGGATGTTTGACTAGGGACCCTTTGCATTCAGTCCTCATGGTTCTGAATGAAGAAGTGATGGCACCACCCTGCAGATGGGACCCAGATGAATGGACTCAAAGCTTCCTGAATAATAATAAAAAGCTTGCCTTTTCTTCTTTCCCAGTTTCTGCTCATTTGGATATTGAATTCACTGGTTTCAGTGATCAATCCTGAGAAAGTGCTAGAGGACTGCAAGGGGTTGGATTAGATCACCCTCGTTGTTCCTTCCAACACCTCAGTTCTTTCATTCTCTGATTCTCTGTTCAATCTCCAACCTCTCTTGTTAGAGTTTGGAGGGACTCCTGCCTAAAAGCTTGGAGGGTTATTGCCAATCAGCATAGACAATAATGAGTTACCTAGGTTGGGACTGACTAAATACTGAGGCTGACTAAATGTATGGCAGCTTACTACTACTACTACTACTACTACTACTACTACTACTAATATTTGCATCTGTCCTTAGCATTATTGTTAAGGGCAGATTGATCCAGCTAAGCTTAAAGATTTAAAAAGGGAAATGACCCCACAAAGAACTTATTTCAATAACCAAAACTATAAAATGCACTTGAAGACAGACATGTTTGCCATTTCCCCCAAATGCCTCCATAAGTTTCAAATCTCTGTCACTCTCTCGATCTTGACCTCATCCACTAATATCTCATTTACTAGGGGGTTTCAATTCCAAGAAGTATGTAACATTCACACACCCTCAAAATAAATAAACAAATAAAGGAACCCGCTTTGAAAATAATTACTAAGGATGTGGGGAGTTACGT